AAATGATGATATGAAAAACGTAATAAATTGGTTATTTAAATAATAATTAAATGAAGTCAAACTAAACACAAACAAAAGAAAATATATGCTAATAGGAAAATCTTTAGATCAAAATTCGATAAATCTTACAATTAATCATGAAAAAAATGTGTCAATCGAATCATTTAAATATTTGGGCATATACGAAGATAGTAAATTAAAATTTGTAGGGCACTTAGAATATATTATTTCAAAAATATCCAAGAAAATAAATTACTTTTAGAGAATTTCGCATAGCCTAAGCGTTTATTCTAAAAAAATTATGTACAACACCATCATTCTTCCTCAATTGTTATATTGTTCGACTATTTTGTTTACTGCAAGTAAAACTGTATTTTCAAAATTACAAATATTACAAATCATCTTAAATATATTAAGTGACATATAAATCCGAACACCCAGTTTAAATGGTTTTATTTCAATAAAAGTTGGTGAATGTATTTATCTTACTGTAAATAACAAGTGAAAAAATTTTCAGCCTTATCAGTTGGACATTCCGGTTTTTATACTGCTTTTTTTTTAATTCACTAACGCTCTAAAAATGAATATTTCAGCCGCAGTAAAGAATCAACGTTGGCGGATTTTGGTTCTTGACATCCTTTACGATCGGTTACGATGCCTAGAGTACGGAGACCTGTACGATTTCGTCAACTTAGTGAGTTTGATAGGGGCCGTATAGTGGGACTTCGGGAAGCTGGACTTTCTTTTCGGACAATTGCAGTTAGAGTGCAAAGAAGTGTAGACACTGTGTTTACGTGTTGTCAGGCATGGCTTCGAGAAGGCCGTACGCAAAGAGCAAGGGGCACTGGACGCCGGCGTAGAACAACAGACCGTGAAGATCGCCGCCTAAGATTACTGGCCTTAAGGGACCGTTTCTCCACTACCAGGTCCATTGCAAATGAATGGTTTGCAGAACACGGAAGACCTATTGGCATGCGAAGTGTTTACCGACGAATGAGAAGTTTTGGCTTGTTTTCATACCGGTCACACTGGGTCCTCCCTTTAACTCGAGAACACCGACGTAATCGCCTTGAGTGGTGCAGACAATGGTCACTCTGGGATCAGGAATGGAACAGTATTGTCTTTAGTGACGAGTCTCGATTTTGTTTAGGCATGCACGAAGGTCGTGCCAGGGTTAGAAGGCGACGTGGTGAAAGGAGGAATCCACAGTTTTTTGTTGAAAGACATGTTCATCACACTGTTGGAGTTATGGTTTGGGGTGCTATAGCTTATGGTTCCAGGGCACCTCTAATCTTCATCAGAGGTAACATGAACGCGCAGCGTTATATCCACGAAGTTCTAGAACGCCATCTTTTACCCTATCTTGACACCCTGGCAGATCCAACTTTCCAACAAGATAATGCCCGACCACATGTTGCAAGAGTCACAATAGACTTCTTTCAACATAATGTCACATTGTTACCATGGCCACCAAGATCTCCCGACTTATCCCCAATTGAGCACGTGTGGGTTATGATGGGTAGGAGATTGCTCAATTTGCAACGTCCTCCTCAGACTCTAGAAGCACTTCGAGAGGAGTTGGTGGTTGCCTGGAATGAGATACCACAGGAGGACATTGACCACCTGATCAGAAGCATGCCTAGGCGCGTTGGAGAATGCGTAGCACATCAGGGTGCATCCACACATTATTAAAGGTCAAAGGGCTTTAAAGCAGTGCAATCATTTTGAAATTTTTATCATTTGCTTATTATGCTTCATTAAGTACTTATACAAAATTTTATTAAAATAAAACCATTTAAACTGGGTGTTCGGATTTATATGTCACTTAGTATAAAAATAAATATAGCTACTAGAATAAATTTTATGCTGAAAGAACTACAATGGTTAAACATCAAAAATTTCATAGACTGCTTGGTTTTTATTTCCATATTCAAGTTAAAAAATCATCTTCTACCAGATCACTTAGAAAATTTTATTGTATTGAACAATGAGTGCCACAATTGTTCCACTAGAGGAGGTATAGGCTTTCATTTACAAAACTACAGTAGCAATATAACTAGCAAGTCAGTATTTCGAAAGGGATTGTACGAATTTAATAAATCAAGTAATGATATCAAGATGTGTGTCAGTTTGAAAATGTTCAAAGGGAAATTGAAAAAATATCTCATGGAAAACCAGAATTCATAGTAGTAAAATTTCGTATTAAAATATGTAGTCTTGAAGACATAATATATTTTGTGATATACTGTGTAATATGGATATTATGGATATTGATTAATGCTAAATAAATCTGAAACAAGCAAACAAACAAACTATTATTGTTGATTGTATGTATTTATGTCATTATTTTGCCAGCTTCGAGGTCCCATGCTACTTAATATATTGGAGAAGCAGAGTCCCTCTCCCATGCACCGTTCTGTGATCCAGACATTTCGCGTGCTTTATTTGGACAGTGTTGCCAGATGTTCAGATAATTATCAGATGTGCTGAGTTTAGAAGTTCAGTCAAATGTAATATGGCAATACGACATCGTTTGTAGTAAAATATATCCGTACCTCGGTGGAGGAGGACATTACTGTCCTCATATCCCGAGGCGCATAGCGCAAAGTGTTCTGACAATAATAGTACGTAATGTACTATTTGGCAAACCTTTAACAGCAACGATAAGACATATCTTCAAAATTACATTCCCTATTTTAGATCTATTACTTTAAACGTCAGTATGGATTCCTTAGGCGAATGTCACACGACCAGTATTTACTATAATCCGTCAGTATTTACGATGGTATGTCATATTCATTTACCGTGTAGTCAGTATGTCAGCAATTATTGATGTACAAGATTATGTAGATGTCTACTGACACTGACAAAACCATCAGTAAGTACTGGTGCGAACGACCACAGTAAAAATGAGATATGTGATATTTCCCTTAGGTGTATTACATAGTGAATGGATGAATACTTCTGCAGAGAGAGAGAGAGAGAAAGAGAGGCGGTTCTGTACAATACTCGAAGTGTTACTTCAAAAATATAAACTGATGGGAGTGGTATTATTGTTAGTTTCTAAGGCCCGTATCGTCAGTCATCCCTACAATTGTAGGGCGCGTTTATGGCCTCCTTGATTGTCATACTGCTTTCTCTCCTTCTAAAATTTCTAGATTACACTTGTCCCGTGTCAGCGTCAGCGCTCTCCTATTGTGAAGATATGTGTTCTTTTTAAATTGTAGGAAATTTCATGCTGATAAAACATGATGTAACTCAAAAGCAAGCACAATTTGATGCAAATAGATGTTTGTGACATAACCTCAAAATAGAGTTCTGACACGGAGAGGTTGCAAACTATGACAATCAAGGAGGCCATAAAGGCGCCCTACAATTGTAGGGACGACTGACGATACGTGCCTAATATACGGTTGGCTATCACTAACCATATTTTTTACACTGAAGCAGCCGCGCAGGCAGAAACCTAAACGCCAGGCACCGCAGCTGATATGAGGTGCTTAAAGGAACTTTGATAATTTGATTCTTAAACTGCTTAAGGATAGTAGAACTGGGGAAAGCCTCCTTATGTAAATCGTTTCACAATCACGATACCCTAGAGACAAAGGAGCAGTTGTATCGGCCAGTTCTGGATGTACGAAGTTCGACACGGTCAGTCTGCTTGTATATCTAGCAGAGCTATGTAGCTTCAGTATTAAAATTATCATCTGATCATGTCATGTACAAGTCCTGAAGTCGTCAATTATATACATTTAGTGTTGAATTCACTTAGTTGGTTCCCATTGAGATTCAATGTTGTTCTACACAACCGATGCTGGGCTTCAGTTGCTTTTTAAAAGTGAAAATGACTCAACCAAAAGAAGATTTAACAACTTCAACTCAATAATTCGACCTTAATGAAAATTACTCGAAAGTGGTGCTATGGCAGTTTCGTGTAATTTTATTAGGGGTTTGTAAATTTTTATTGTTTAGATCGTGCTTCTCAAAAAGGATCGTCCTACTTATTTTTTGAACTGGTCTTGCTAGGAAGCTGAAATTCGGAATGATCTATGGACCCATAATTACTACAATTTAACGTAAATATAACAAGCAAAAACTCAAAGTTGATGGTAGGGCACCATTTTGTTGTATTTTGAAGAACCCTGTGTGCTTTATAACCGTTGAATATGAAATCACTATCTTACAAAATAGCGAACTTGCAGGCTGTCAACGTTGAGCATGTTTTTACATTGAATTGATTATAACTCAGCAACTATAATCAAAGCGTTATAGTATGTGATATCGGTATTCTTCATTTGGAAGGGTTTATCTGAATGTGCAATAAAATATAAGACATTCCGTTAAAAAAAAATGGACAAGTTTTGACAATATTTTTGATAGAATGTTCCATGAATTATTGCATATTCGGTGATACCCTTCCAAAAGGAGAATATAAATATGAAAGCGTGGGTTGCTTGATATTTAATATTAGTTGCTATTCAATTACAAAATTGGAGATACGAAAATTTTGTTAATTTCACCCTTCGCTTTTTTACTATAATTGCATGTTTTGTCATTATCTTACCCTCTCCCATACTTAAAAATTATTGTCTATGTTTCAGTTCGATTTGCTGTTAAGCCCTGTTTTCTGATTTCTTAAACTATAATTTATTTTTGTAATTTTTAGTCTCAAAGCGGCAACAAAACGTATTATAATCAAACAATTTGAAAATCTCCAGATTTTATCAAAATTCTAAAATTATTCAAATTGCGAAATTTTCACCTTGTCCTCAAAATTTACAAATCCTCAGGCTATTCTCCAAATATTTTCAGAATTTTCAAATACAATTTTTTTCTAGATTCCTTTTTTGTATTGTCATCGGCCCAAAAATAGTATAAGGGCGCATTTTGTATGAGGTCAATGTACTTTCTGTTAATTATTGCCACTGCTTTTTTTAATCACAACGGGGTGTAGAGGGAAATTAAACGAACTGTCTTGATCAACAGGCAATATTTATTCATCAGCTAAGTAACAATGCCCCAAACAAGCATTGTTTAACAAGTACGAATAATTCTAATACCCCTGACCTAAAGTATTCGAGAATGACAGTTGTATGTAGCTTAAGCTATATAATTGGAGATGTGTGAGTAGGTCAAATCATAACAGTGCATCAGCACAAAAATAACAGATTTTCTTTTCTTAGAATATATAGCAAACAACACTATGGAGTATATAAAAAATAAAAGCTAGTGAAAACTATTTCACATATTCCTGATATCTTTATTTATATGTATTAATGTCATATTTTTAACCATTATTATAGCTGTGAGGCAGAATTGCTTTCAGTTGAATCAGAACATTGATATTCAGGCACACATTCGCCGTCTTTACGCAAGTACCCTTTGGCGCAGTAGCAGCCAGGGGCGTGTTGGTTAGAATTGTCACAATTTCCATACTTTGAATCGTCACATTTTTCTCGACAAGGTTTATATATTAGATACCTTTCATTTATCATCATCATCATATCCTTAGCGTTGTTATAACAATCTTGTTTTGGTATGCAAACACCATTCTGCATCAAGTATCCTTCTCTGCAGTAGCATCCTGGTGAATATTTTCTTTCACCTTTATCACAATTTTTTGAATCCAAGTCGTTACATGTTTGCTGACAGGGTTCATATTCGTGATATTCTTCATTTACATCACATCCGTTTTGAAGATGTATTTGTTTCGAGCATGCTTCTTTTGGAATGCACATTCCGCCTTTTCTTAGATATCCTGGATATCCTGGAGCATATTTTTGTATTTTATCATGCTTTTGTTTCCCTTGCTCATCACAATTTTCATTGTGAAATTTGTACGACAAGAAGACTTCGTTGACTCCACAGAGTTTCGAATCTTCTCCCGAAGAATGCCAACAATGGCGTCTAGGGATGCAAACACCATTTCTTCTCAAATAACCTTCTTTGCAATAACATCCAGGAGCATGTTTCTTAATTTTTTTCTCGCATTCTGGAGATGCGAGATCACCACATGTTTTTGGACAAGGCTCATATTCCAGATACTGCTCATTCGTCCCACATTTTCCTGGAAGTAGAGATTTAACTGAAGAACATTCTTCCTCAGATATGCATTCTCCATTTCTCCTCACATAACCCTCTGCACAGTAACATCCAGGCGCATATCTCCTTGCTTCTTCATTGCAAGTGCCGCGTTCTAACTCTGAACAGGATTGCAAACATGGAACATACTTCAAATATTCCTCGTTCGGTCCACACATACTCAAGAGTTCCTTTTTGGATTCCAAGCACTCTTGATTAGGAACACATCTTCCTTCTTTCCTCAAATATCCTTGTTTGCAGTAACATCCAGGTGCATATTGCATCTCATTACAGGCTTTGTACCTTACTAAATCCCCACAGGTTATCAGACAAGGTTTGAAAGTCAAGTAAACTTCATTTTCACCACATTGCTCTTCGCTATCTTCAGGACGTTGGTCCAAACATTTTTCCTTTCGAATACAAAGTCCGTTCTTCCTACGATATCCTGGAGCACAGTAACATCCTGGTCTGTAGTCCAGCGTTTTCCTGCAGTTCTTAGAATTCTGATCACAGTTTTCTCTACAAGAGCGATACTTGAGGAAAATCTCATTTTCTGGACATTTGACGTACCGTCCGCCAAGAGCATTACACCTATCTTTAGGAATGCAATATTCGTCTTTTCTGAGGAAACCTTCCGAGCAGTAACAACCAGGGCCATATGAAGTTTGTCCATCGCAGCTGTCGTCTTCTAGGTCATCACATGTCGAAAGGCATGATTTGTATTCGAGATATGTTTCGTTCACTCCAGCACATCGTTCTGAAATTAATTTTATTTATGAATACTTTGTCGTTGAGAAAACGAGTCAAGTAAAGTGGTAATCCTCCATGTTTGTCTGGTCGAATCAACCCATATGTTTGAAATTCCTGTTTATTTTATTACTAACAATTGTACTACTACCACTACTAACGTTTTGACCACGCAGCTTCTGTTGCTTTTTGATGTACTTCAACATCATCATCACCGAGCTGGCCGAAACGTTAGTAAGCTTTTAATTCAACATATATGGTCATTGTACTGATTACCATTGTAATCGAAACATTTACAATAAACATTACGTTTTCAACACATTTGGTTTCGATTGGCCAGACAAATATAGGGGATTATCGATATGAAAGCAACAGGATGTTTCAGATGTTACATACAGGGTGTTCATTTGGAAACTTTCCACCACGTATTTATGGAAAACAACTGATTAAAAGCAAAAACACCATGACACGTCAAAATATTTGTCAAGGGGACATGATTTTAATCCAAAGCTACTTCACCCCTTTTCACACTCGGCCTCCCAGGGTCATTCCCTTAAGAATTTTAAATGACAAAGGCTATCGAGTAATAGCTTGTTTGAAAGGTCTCTCGAAGTCCTTTATTTTGACGTTAGATTTTTATAAATCAGTCGATTCGTTTTCTAGAAAATTATAAAAATCTTTATTTATCTTAATTTGTTCAGATAAAAAACAAAAACACATGAAAATATTACATTATATTTCGATAAATGTACAAAATGTTGCCCGTTGGGGTTTGCCAAATCTACAATTCGTCTACAATGTAAAACGGAAACTACCAACATAATCAGCAATTCGGAAGATTAGACGTGGCAATAACCAACTAACAACCCGAACTTTTACCCGCATTCTTTACATCAACCCAGATATCCTAAGGTTAGTAGAACTGGTAAAAGCTTCCTCTTGTAGATTGTTCCACAATCTCAACACACTCGGGACAAAGGAGCGGTCGTATAGGCCAGATTAGGATGGGAGGCCAAAGTCAGGCCGGTCTGTCTGGCAGGCACATAGCGCGGCGGCATCATGGAAGAGAGCTCCGAGGAGCAAAGCCCGTTGGTGTAGAGGTAGAAGAGAGCTAGATCGCCGACGGTCCGCCAGTGCGAAAGGGTACCGAGACTGTCTGTTAGAGAAGAGCCATCGATCAGTCGGACAGCCCTCCTCTGGACAGCATCGAGCATAATTAATGCAGTCGGGTGAACTTCATTTATTGTAATACCTGTTTAGTTATTTACCTTTGTGACAATATTGGGATAGTGAAAAATAATTTATTGATTCAGATTTTACTTCCAAAATGGTTTACACACTAGCCGAAAGAGTGAAAATGATTCTAATTTATGGTGCCCAAAATCAATGTGCTCGGCAAACGCCAGATATCCAGGGAACATAACTTCGCATAGGTATGTTTTGTACCTTCTTACCACATTTACTGGATCTGTTGCAAATAAAAAATGTGATCATCGGAGAGTTTTGGATGAAGCCGCTCAAGTTGAAGTTTTGGGTCACTTTGGGATGAATCCTAATACTTCATTACGCAAAATTGTTGCTGCGACTGGTATTTCATTAGGCTCTGTACACACTATTATTAAATTCCATAAATTTCATCCATTCAAAATGAAAATATTGCACGGGTTAACCGAAGATGATTTCGATAGGCGCGTTGAGTTTTGAGAACAAATGACTGCAGCGATTAGTGATAATACCCTTCGTGTAAAGAATATCTGCTTCAGTGATGGATGCACATTTTATCTAAATGGATTTGTTAATAAGCATAAGTGCAGGTATTGGAGCAGTGAAAATTATTATGCTTTTGTAGAAGGCAAAAAATTAATGTATGGGTAGGCATTTTAGGAAACAAAGTCACTGGGCCATTGTTTATTAATGGAAATTTAAATGAAGACATTTATTTGGATATATTGGAAAATACCATCAATCCGCTCAACACTGAAACCATTGGAAAGCAAATCGAAGAGGATGGAAACCCTATGGCTGAAATGTATTTTCACCAAGACGGCGCTAATCCTTACTATGTTCTTCCGGTTCGGCAATGGCTAGACGACGAGTTTCCAGATAAATGGGTAGGGCGAAGAGGGCCTATAGAATGGCCTGAAAGATCCCCTGATTTAACGCCATTAGACTGTTTGGTGAACTTCATCAACGCATCATCGAAATCTGCCATGATATCCCACAACATGTTTTTGCAAATGCCATCAGGAATTTGTACATCGCCTACATCATTGTTTGGCCAATAACGAGCACTTATTGAGATAGACACGAATCAACCGATTTTAACAAATCAAACGTCAAAATAAAGGACTTCGAAGCACCTTTCAAACAAGCTATTACTCGATACCCTTGTCATTTGAAATGTTCAAGGGATGACCCTGGGGGGTAGAGAGAGAAAGGGGATGAAGTAGTTTTTGGTTAAAAAGGTGTCCCCCTTGACAAATATTTTGACATGTCTCGGCGTCTTTTCTCTTAATCAGTGGTTTTCGACAAATCCGTTGTGGGAATTTTTCAAATGAACTCTGTACATAGTTTCGTTTGGCGGTCATCAAGACATGGATATTTCACATGAATTAGTAGTTGCACATTCTTTAACATAGACAAATTGTAGTTTCGTTCAGTTGAAATTAATACTTACTTGGACTATGGGCATGAGCAGCTCCAACTGCTAGCAAAAGTATCGCCACAATATTCATCTTGATATCCCCAACCTTGGTTAAACACTCTCGCTGATACATCTACAATATACCATATGACCGATCACTTTTTATACCGTCTCGAGTGCAAGATAATGCGCATAGCCATAATATTAAAAGTAAACAAATGCATCAGATGTAAAGTTCCCATAGACAATAGTGGCAGATTCATAACAAAGCATATCTAGGATTTTTCCTGTGGTAAACACTACAAAAGATTTCTGAAGTCAAGGATGATGCTTGTAGGTATTTGATCTCCATCCCACAAACTTAAACTAATTAACACATAAACTGTTTATTGGGAGTTCAATCAAAACGATAGCTGCAATTTGCATAATTTCGGATACTAGACTAATGTCAATTATTTTTCCGTATTCATATTGAACATAGTACATTCTTATAAGACTAAAAATTGCTAGTTGGGTAATTTAAAGCTGGCAAAAAGCTCAACTGTTCTGATGCCAAATGGCTCGCGCTCAAACTGGCTGGAATTTCAGCTCTCCATAACAATCTCCAGTCTCAATTGCATTACGGTCCTAATAACAAATGTTTTCGAGATACATAATGTAGAGGTTAATGAATCCGAAAAAGGTGTGTTGCCAGTTTAAACCATCTACTGGATATCTGCCAACTTTTAGACATGTTTCTTACGCACGCTTTGGTGACATCAAATCATTATAATTCTCATTGAAAATAAATTCCAGTCAAACTAGCTGATGTTTTAGTATGATATCATCTCGATCAACTTAAGTATCTATTTTTTACTTTCCTAATCAACGCCTGACAATTTTACCATGAACTATTTTCTATCAATATCCCTATGACTTACCCAAGGTAACTGGGAAACCATAGATACTCTGACGCTTTAAAACGGACGAAATGAAATATCATGGAACTTTTAAGATAATTAGATGAAATCATCGACTAATAGTCAAGATTTGGTACACACGTAATGATACTAAAAAATCAGCTAGTTCGACTGGTATTTATTATCCATGAGAATTGTGATGATTTAATGCGATCAAAAATATGTGAATATTGCGTCAAGTAGCACGACTCTGCTCTTCCTATGCAACAGTGTCATGAATCCGTAAAGGATTATGTTTGGCACCAGTTGGCCGATGGATCGACACAATCTAAGGTGGATGACGATCGATGGTCCATATCCAGTCGAGCAGCGGAGGCCGACTGCTACACAGTTACATCGGCAGGACTGTGAAGCATGTATGATCGACAGAAGAGAGTCGGAAATATTTCTCCATTATTCCGTTTTAAGTGTATGAGGCAATCTATGATGACCGAAATATGCCTGACACATGCATAGAATCAGCGCGGTTGCAAGCGTATACGTAAACCAAAGTTGAGATATACCCTCCCCCACCCCCACCTACAGCCCCTACTATCCAATTTTTTACCCATAAAAATATTTTCAAAAGTGGGCGAGATCCTCTCAAACGTATAAAAACGAAGTTTGAGTGATTTTTATTTTCCTAATTTTTCTGCTTCTAGCTCCAGATCGATTTTCAGAAACTATAAATGTTTCTTTCTTTCTTGGCGTAGTTACCTTGTTTGAAAATTTCATAAATATCCGATCAGAACTTTCACGGTTATATTGGGGTCAAGGATTAGCCGACAGACAGACAGACGGAAATGAGTTGCGTTCTCAGTGATGAGCATTTCATATAACATCAAAAAAACACGGTAGTTCATTTTCGATATGTTTCGCAATTACAATACTCCTCGCCAGTGGCACAGGAAAGCAAATATCTAGTGTCATAAAATTGACATTCAATAGATGAATCAAATCAGCATTATAGGAGCTACTAAGTATCTAATCAACGACCGAAGAAATCATAAAATCATCATTTAACTAGAACACCAAGTAACGCGAATACCGCTGATCTTAGGACCGTAGTGCAATTGAGACTTTCGATCCTTTACAAAGACCATATGAAAAGATCTGGAAAAGTACTCATTAGCTTTTATATACAACAAAATTCTATACAGGATAGGGTTCAACTTGAGCCGAAATTCTTCATTAGTTGTTCTTTTCCCAGAACATGGTTTTTAGGTCATACAAGGTAAATGATATTGTCATCATGAAGCATGTAGAATCTGTTTACGGGAAGTAGAGCGATGTTTTTGTCCATAAATTTATAATCCAAAACGTGTTTTTATTGAAAAAATAGATTTTACTCGACTATCTCGAAAATATTGCATATTATGGAAAATTATTCCCACCATTTCTAGTCACACCTAAGCTATGCATCCTTGAATATTGTACAACGTTTGTAGTTGCTTCCAGACTGATTTTCAGGATTATTCTGATGTGAATTTTGAATTTTTGTATAAAGTTCGCTTACTAACAAAGTAGACTATCAGATAGATTTTGCGACCTATCTGCTAAATAAATCAAAGACACCTGATGTCAGAGATGACGTGAGTTGGTCGATGTGAAATTTTATCCGTGTCAAAACGTGTATTTTTGTCTAAATTCAATGTTTGTGTTGATGTGAGATCCATCGCAAAATGGAGCCCTGTGGGAGCTGTGCGTGTTCCTCCCCAGAGGCGACAGCATACTGGGAATACCTAAAGACCCAGTTCGAAGGGCAGACGGCCACGTTGCAGGAGAAGGAGATGGAAATTAGAGGGAAGCTTGCTGTTGTTGATAATTTTATTTCTTCGTCTAAACAAAGGTAGGTATCACTTCGATGATGAAAGTAGCAGTTGAGGATAAGCCAAGACAAAGAAATTGGCTCATTACGTGTTGCGCCTACCACAGTAATAGCAGGTGAAAAGCATGCATGCGGTTTGCCCAACTGTTATTAAGGACTAGTTATGCAATCTGAAATATTGTAACTCTACGGGCTGCTGATGACTTAGTACCCACAATCAAGCTACAAAGTAAAATGTATCTTTTCCAGAAGCAAGGGTCTAAAAAGTTGAGACTTGTATCTGGAGATATACTGGAATAGTATAATATATATATATATATATATATATTACGAAGGCAAGAACAAAAACATATGGTTCAAATAACAAGTCACAAAAGACGAAAAGGAATACATACACATACAATGCAATTTGTTTTCAAAATTTTCATTTACGAAGCTAATTTATATACGAAACTTTGGAGATCTAGTTTAGTGGGCTGCATTAAACATGAGAATATTGCCGAGGTTTTCCATATAGAACTCCCAAAACTGGCTCAAAATATCGGGAACATAAATAAGGGATGAAGTTTGACCTGCAAAATTGTAACAGATCGATTCGAGTATTAACTGTTTAACAATTACGTCTGGTGTTTCGCAGATACAGCTCTACAGCTCCGAAAATTAGTTTGGCACTTACAGCGTACCTTTATCTGTAAAATTTAGTTAATTAATGCTTACAAATTTATCTGATCGTAAATTTATTATAACTCATGGTGAACATAAGTTCATCTTTAAATCGATATATCCAATGGAAAATTTACACCCCCAGATATATGTCGATCTAATTTGGGTTACACCTACAATTTACATATTGCGTATGGCACCAAGCGCTGATAACGATTTGCCACAATGATAGCTTATTCGAAAGCTCGATGAGTATTTATTCATATTCACCATGATACGTTAATGAATATCGGACTGATGAAGCTACCGTTATCAGCCGAATTTAAAGCAGATACAAGTTGACAGACTAATAAAATGTCAACAAATTAGATTATATATTGTCGTTTTCACAGTTTTTGGTGGGTCATAGTAAAACTACAGGAATGACACGTACATTCATCTTCCTCACACATGCATATGCAATCGACCTTTATGCGCGAACATTTGTGTAATCTCGCAGATATACGTTTTATTAATCCTTTCCTTGTATTACCTTGTATTCAGTTTTAACGGAGTTGACACAAGTCTGAAGGTAGCAGCATGAGGAATACAAGCGATACATTTAGATATTATGATTCATCGCAGTGCTCATCAGAAGATACCTTTTGAATGGTGAAAATCACTACTAATCGCGGAGATAGAAACTCATAAGTTGGTACTTATCAGTGCGACAAGATGCGTTTAATGAATTTAACGATTAGAGATAAAAGCTGGTATTTCGTAGGTGCATTTCACCTAACTTTAGTGAACCAAACCAATACTCGTTTTAATTTGCTTGAGTAAATATTTAGTCTCAACCCATGTACAACGATTTATTAAATAGCACAGTGTAACTGATTTTTCCGAATGTCTTTTGAACACAGATACCAGACCACTCACTGGCTTACCTACACCCTTATTTTCTAGGAGGATAAAACTTCAGTGCTTTGCCTTTCCGATGGATTTCCAAAACAAAAAACTTGTAAGCAAAAAAATACGGTCTAAACTAAACGTCATGTCCTCGCCCCGAATTAAGGAAATTTTATAGTATGTCCTTTTAGAAATCTGTATGAATAGAATGGGAATACAACTTCGAGACGGAACGAATTCTTCATTTGGAGTTGTTATTAACCGAGACATAGGAGGTGTGTTTATAAACGCAAAAAGTCGATTTCCACCAAGATATTTAAGATTAGACTTTTACTACTTGTATACCTTTTCAGACGCTTTTCTGAGCGCCTAATAATCCAATCTAGTGAAAATCGAACTAAGTTTCGGGAGAATTGTAAGTTGACAAATTATTTGGTAAAAACGTGTGAAGAGGGTTACTGAACGAAAGTATGGGTCGTGCCAGGAAAAAATGTTCCGCTTCCATTTTCTTGCGAAAAATCGGGTTAAAATATTTTTTATTTTTTCCATCGAGTTATTTCATTGCTAACGGAATGAACCTTGGTTCCTTTTTTTAGCTCTAGAACACTCGCAACTTTTTGAACACCATAATCGGGCAAAGAATTTTAAAGCTATTGCAATAAATCCTTAAAAATCAGGCAATTTATCTTAATCACTTCTATTGGGTAATTTTTTTTTGCTAGTATTTTTTTGGCAACACCGCTTTTGACAGATGACGCGTGAATCGTGTCTTGTGTCATTGTAAAACTTGTTCAGTTTGCTCTATAATTTAACCATGAATCGACTTACGAACGAACAACGCTTG